AGGCTGATTGGGGAATTTCAGGGCGATGACCTTAACAAGGTCTCTGAGTACACGCTCGAAAATCATTCCTTGTTTTCTCCAACTTGTCTTAAGTGCCCGCATTGCAAAGCCCGACTTTTTAACGAAGAATATGACCGTAAAGCTTGGTGCTGCAAGGGTGGAGCTTTCAACGTTCAAAAAGACATCCCACCCCTTGATGCAGACTTTTACAGCAGCCCTGCATTTTTAAGGAATCCACGTCTCTTTAACGACGCATATGCTTTTTCGGCTTTAGTCATTCCACAAGGTTTCCATCACCCCCGTGTTGGTCTTTCATTTATTAAAATTCAGGGACGTGTGTATCACAGGGTCTTTGACATCAATTGGCATGGGCCATACCCGAATCACAGTGCCATGTACGTAGACGATGGGCAAAGTCGCATGGAAAATTTTATTGAACCCCATTCGCTTAATCCGCTGGTAGCAATTAGCATCTGTGACTACCTCAACACGCACAACCCACTTATTCCTTTGTTTCGACAACTCGGTGCTGCTGAGAGTGAAAACGCACGCCTTGTCTTCGAAAACACAACAAGACAAAGAGATGGTCCCCTCTTAGAGCAGCGGACGTCAAGGGAGGTAGCGGCGTTGATTTGTACAGACCCTGCAACTTATAATCCTCGTAAGTTAACGATTTGGAAAAGGGAGGAAAATTCATTTCCGCAGTCAATTGACACGTTCCATCCACTCCTTGAACCTTTTCAATATCCTTTGCTCTACCCACATGGTACACCAGGCTGGCACATAAATAGATTAGATAATTATGGGAACAAACTTTCTCAATTCGACTATACCCGCTGCCTTCTCCTCTCCCAGCCACGATTTTCTCAGTTTGGCAGATTGTCAGAAACGTGGCTTGTTGATATGTATGCAAGGTACGAGGAGGAAAAGCTCAATTTCATTTTCCATAGCCAGCGTGATGGGGCTCGTACTGGGGGACTCCGATCAGCGCCACTCGATGAAGTTCGTGCTGCTGCAGAAATCCGCAACTCACCTGCTACATATCCGGCGGCTTCAGCCCCACCAGTCGTTCCTGTTGCCCCTCCGGCTCCATCAAGAGGGCGTGGAAGGGGTCGAGGTCGAGGAAGTAATAGTGGTTACGGTGCACGTATGCCGACACCAGACACTGTACGTGCCCCCGGAGGCACACCAGCGCACGCTCTCCCTGGAAACAGACCAATTGTCAATCAGGTTCTCAGTGAAATAAACACGAACGAAACAATACACGGGGAAGGAGGTGCCGTCCCAGGTCGGATATATCTCCCAGAATCATTCACAGGTGGGCCTCGATACATGAAAAACCGCTATTTAGACGCCATGGCTATCGTAGGTAGGTTAGGAAACCCATCCTACTTTCTTACGATTACTGCAAATGCAAAATGGGAAGAAATAAGACAGTCGACTCACCCTGACAATCCGAGCGGGGAACCAGCTGTTATAAACAGAGTTTTCCAGTTGAAACTCCTTGAGCTTCTGCGCGACCTAAAGAGTGGGGCATTTTTTGGAAAAAAGGCATACATTATTTATGTCATTGAATTCCAGAAACGCGGATTACCCCATGCTCATGTGGCCTTTCGGGTAGAGAACGGTGCAATGCAGAGCTCTGAGGTCGACCGTATCATCCGAGCGAACATCCCAGCTGAAAATGAAGCCGGGGGTAGACTCAGGGAATTAGTTTTACAGCATATGGTGCACGGTCCGTGTGCGAATCGTACTAATCTCCCGTGCTGGGACAAAGATAGGAATGCTTGCTCTAAGTTTTACCCCAAACCGCACACGGACGTAACCCACGTAGATGACCGAGGATTCTGGCACTACAAAAGAGATTCTGAGAACACCGAAACAAAGGAATTCGGGGGCCAGGAGGTTACAATCAGTGATTGTGACATTGTCCCGTATAACGCTGCTCTCCTTTTAAAGTACAATTGTCACCTTAACCTCGAAGTTGCCTCTACAAGAAAAATTATTCATTATTTATTTAAGTATATGACAAAAGGAACGCCACTTACTCGTGTTTCTGTGGCCCGAGAGGAAGAAGACGAAAACGAAGTCAAACAGTTTGTCACACGGCGGTACATTGGCTCTTCTGATGCAGCTTGGCGTCTTCTGGAATTTCCCATCACCGGCAGGGAACCGACTGTAAAACAGGTTCCCATTCACCTTCAAGACAGACAGTATGTACTCTTTCGACCAGGCGGAGAGGCCGATGCTGTTGAAAACTCTTCTTCACCTTTAATACAATACTT